GAGGCGTGGCGGCCCTCCATGTTACTAAAGACCACAGTAATCATTGACTTTTTTATTTATATTCTCACCTGTTATAACATGTGCTGAATGTAAGATAGCTACTAAGTCAACCTGGGTAACATTCACTTAAAAAAATAATTGAACATGTAATACAATAATTACAATAATATAAAACATGATGTCTCAACGCAATGCATCGGCTGTTTTGGAGAAATAAACACTGATGCACCTTAAAAACCAAGCTTTTGCTAGCTGGTAACTTAGCGTTTAGCATGCTAACGCGTTTAGCATGCTAACGCTAACGGTGTCTATTCCTAACTCTAAATCTGTCATCCAAATATGGTCCTAAAATTAGCCTTGTTGTTGAGATGTGATAAATAAACATGCCTTCACTGCCTTGAGTGAATTTGGCATATTTGAACAGACAAAAAGTTTAGCAACATGTAGCACTTCTTTTACCCCGTCTCGAGGTTGCTAAATGATTTATGTGCTCACGTGTTGCAACCCAGTCTCATGGCATTTTGTGTTATTAGTCACGAAATTAATTTTATCTATTGATTCGTGTTCACCAACACGATTTCGCCATTTTTTTCGTGTCACACAGAACGATTTTAAATGCAATGTATTTCTATTGGTACTATGTTTCGTGCCTGCATCACGTCTTGTTGTCCGGTCGGGTCTTGGAAGACCAGAAGCTGTGTGGTTCATAAAAACATGTTCTTACTCAATATCTTACCCTAAGCCTAACCCTATCCCTTTTATTTTAAATTGTATAATGTCTGAGTTTTGTTGCCGTCAGTGAGGAAAAGAAATGGCTCAGAGCCTCAGAATACTGACATCTGTATTTTATGTCATCTTTTTTTCCTTCTAATGTGTTATTATTTGGTGCAGGCACGAAACATACTACCAATATAAATACATTGCTTCTAAAATCGTTCTGTGTCAGAATACTGAAATCTGTATTTTTTTAAATGTCTTTTTCCTTCTAATTTCTTATTATTTACATTGCTTTTAAAATCGTTCTGTGTGACACGAAAAAAATGGCGAAATCGTGTTGGTGAACACGAATCAATAGATTAATTTCGTGACTATAACACAAAATGCCGTGAGACTGTTGGCTCACGCTAGTCACCCTTTCCCCGAAATGAACTTGCAGCTGTCCTTATCTGAGTAGACTAGCTATATTTAGCATTTATTTTTCTGGCTTTTGCTTCTTTTTGACAACGTTTTATGCCACATTCTTAGTTTTTCAAAACATGGAGACACAAAATACTTCCTACTTTGAATGATTTTAGGGATAGGCCTACTGACACATTTTGCAAGGGTTACAAGTTCCCTTTTTAATGTTTTAGCATACTGTTTAACTCCATACCGTTTCAAAACAAATGAAATGTCTTACTTTTGCATTCATGTGTTTTCTTTTCACTTTATTAATTATCCTCATTGTACATATAGCCAGTAATGAATCAAAAGGCTGTAGCTGTAAAAGAGCAGCGCATTTCAATAAATAGTGACCAAAAGTTGACTTTTAGTAACCTGTTTAAATCTCAGAGGCTTGTTTTTGTGACCTTACCATCATTGCATCCTCATTGCATCACTTCAGTCCAATATTCCTCCGCCTTCATTAATGTTTGACATAGTTCAAAGGACGTTCTTAAATAAATGCAAACAGATTCGGGACAGAACGGGTAGAGAGGTATCTGATCAATACCAGTGATACTCAGTGATGCTGAAATGTTCATCAGCAGGAGAGGACTCTTTAAAGTAGAGACACTACATGCTGATATACACCTGAACATCAGCAGGAGAGGACTCTTTAAAGTAGAGACACTACATACTGATATACACCTGAACATCAGCAGGAGAGGACTCTTTAAAGTAGAGACACTACATACTGATATACACCTGAACATCAGCAGGAGAGGACTCTTTAAAGTAGAGACACCACATACTGATATACACCCAGAACATCAGCAGGAGAGGACTCTTTAAAGTAGAGACACTACATACTGATATACACCTGAACATCAGCAGGAGAGGACTCTTTAAAGTAGAGACACTACATACTGATATACACCTGATCATCAGCAGGAGAGGACTCTTTAAAGTAGAGACACTACATACTGATATACACCTGATCATCAGCAGGAGAGGACTCTTTAAAGTAGAGACACTACATACTGATATACACCTGAATATCAGCAGGAAAGGACTCTTTAAAGTAGAGACACTACATACTGATATACACCTGAACATCAGCAGGAGAGGACTCTTTAAAGTAGAGACACTACATACTGATATACACCTGAACATCAGCAGGAGAGGACTCTTTAAAGTAGAGACACTACATACTGATATACACCTGAACATCAGCAGGAGAGGACTCTTTAAAGTAGAGACACTACATACTGATATACACCTGAACATCAGCAGGAGAGGACTCTTTAAAGTAGAGACACTACATACTGATATACACCTGACCATCAGCAGGAGAGGACTCTTTAAAGTAGAGACACTACATACTGATATACACCTGAACATCAGCAGGAGAGGACTCTTTAAAGTAGAGACACTACATACTGATATACACCTGAACATCAGCAGGAGAGGACTCTTTAAAGTAGAGACACTACATACTGATATCCACCTGACCATCAGCAGGAGAGGACTCTTTAAAGTAGAGACACTACATACTGATATACACCTGAACATCAGCAGGAGAGGACTCTTTAAAGTAGAGACACTACATACTGATATACACCTGAACATCAGCAGGAGAGGACTCTTTAAAGTAGAGACACTACATACTGATATCTGAACATCAGCAGGAGAGGTCTATTTAAAGTAGAGACACTACATACTGATATACACCTGAACATCAGCAGGAGAGGACTCTTTAAAGTAGAGACACTACATACTGATATCTGAACATCAGCAGGAGAGGACTCTTTAAAGCAAGCGTGTAAATATGACTTGGTATTTCCTCCATTCTTGCTCACATACCTTTTGATTTGACCAACAAAAAAAAAACAGAGAAAGGAAATCAGAGTTCACCATGTAGAAAATCAGAGAGACAATGAATGTTTCTGTAAAAACGGATTCCTACCTACGTCAGCAAAGGGCAGGGAGAACAGAAAGATGGAGGTTTTGGAGAGGATGAGGACGGTTACGCTGATCCATCAGGAAATTACAGGTAAAATAGGAATGTGGGTCCATCAGGTGCAGATGAACTGGAGCCGGAGGGCAGGTGGAGTTCAGGATCTTTGAAGCTGATATGAGATCAGTTCTTATATTCTCCACCGTACACCGAGAACTGGTCCGATTCACACTTTTGCAGATCTAACTGGACTCAGTGTAGATTAGCCAACAAACTCTTACAAAATGAAAAGCTTGTGCATGTTACAAAATAACTTTTTACCGGCACACATACAAGTATTTGGGTCATCTATACATGTAATATGTATAGATGACCCAAATATGTATGTTCATTTAATTCATTTCTTATTTTAAAAGTTACTTAACTGTATATTTATTTATTTGTTTATTCCACACATGGCAGTTCTTTTAAAACAAAACATGTACACTTATACTAGTTTTTTTATATATATATATATATATATATATATATATATATAGCGCAAGGTGGAGAAGAAAATCTTATTTGACCTGCCCCTTCTTAGAAAGGTGAGGTTAGGGTTTTTAAGGTAACCCTTAAAAATGAAATAACCATTAAAAAGTCAAATAAAAGCAATATTCTTTCAGTCACAGTTGCTTACAAATACTGAAACATAAAACCAGAACACAATCAAAAGTAAACTAATTACGCTTTCTTTATACATTTTCTTGAACATAAAAATGTTCTTACAGCCCTTTAAATCATTCGGCAAAGAATTCCACTTCTTTACACAAACTACAGAGATATCATTTCAATGTTATCTTTCATTTTATCTTACATTTTATTCATCTTTAATCTTGTGTGAATCTGTGCTGTCCTGTTTTTCACCGTGTTGCTGTTTCAATCTGCATTTCCCCACAGGGATCAGTAAAGGTCCATCTGATCTTATCTTGTGTTCACTATCTTATGTTTCTTCCATTTCAAGGCAGCCATGATCTCTTTCAGAAACATAAACACAGCTGAAGTGTCGTGCTGACATGGGGCCTCAGTTAAACACCACGTAGACCCATGGAAATGTAATGTCATGGTTGTTGTCGGTGATTTGAGCAAAAGATATATGAGAGAAATACCACTAAGCCTGTATTTAAAGAGTTAACACGCTGATAGAGCGGCTGCAGAAGGCCATCCCGCTCGAGCCGGAGGTCTTTCCTGCTCGCATGCCAAAGGAAGGAGAAAGCATTCCTCCTGCAGAATATGAACACACGCACAATTGAAAAGAGTCTGCAGGAAGAGAGTGAAAACGCTCCAGGCACTTGTTCTGTTTTCATTCCAAGTGAACAATAAACGGAGGGTTTTGCATTATTTTGATAACCGTTGGACTGTGCTGTAAAGTCTGTCGAGTTTGAATGATGATTTATTTCAGGGTTTGACAAGTCATACATTCCACATGCATCATGAGGTAGATTGTGTGCGCACCCTGGATCTGCATGTAGAATTTGATATTGCATCAGTTTCTACATGTCTTAATGTCCTGTTGGTGACTCTTGCATGCACTGTGTATACCTTTTTATGGAACTGCTTTTGCTTACAAATATCACTTATGTAAGTTTAATGGACCTTATACAACTTCTTGCATGAGTTATGGCTCAAAAATACCTGTTGTGTTTTGGGTAATGGTGGAGGAACTTCTTTTATTTGGCATTCAGACGATTGGTATTCGTTATTAAAACCTTGGGAAGGCCTTGTAGAAGAAGTAAGGGGAATAAAATAAGGTTAATCAAATATCTATACAAATTGAAGCATTTGTAATACCTTGACCATGAAAATAGCCTCTTAAATGTGTGCACAAACTATGATAACAATAAGAAAAAGATCAGGAGGCACATTTAGATCAAGTATAGACATTTTATTTCTGAAAGGGAAATACTTTACAAACATTTTCAAGTGAAACAAAATGCTGGGCGCAGACAGACCCTTCTTCACAGAGAACCGATTGTTTTCAAGATAAAGATACACCTCATTTCCAGCCACACATACTGTACACTCATCACACATCTTAAAAACTCTCAAATATAAACATCCCATCACTCCTTTTTCAAAACTTACTTTAACCCATCCATCTTCCAAGGACGAGACAACCAATCACGTGCATCGTCTCTTTTGATAGCAGCTCTCAATAACCAAAATATTACATCATCCCAACGACATTTCTCATCATACATGTACAATTCACAGGGAGGGAAAGAAAGGGCTGCATGGCTCAACATTTATTTTAAATAAGGCCCTTTTGAGTTTAATTATTCTCTCATTTGAAGTTGCAAAGGTTTAGTGTCTTCCATTAGCAATGAATCAGCTGTGTTTCATTTAGTAGAGAACCATTCTGTCGCCATGTACTTCCCCTTCAATATGAAGGACTTAATCATGTTGATTTCTACTTCTTCAGTTTACGGAAATCAAATTGAGAGGATCATCTCAATCAGTGCATATTTAACCATTAAATCTGGCCCCCCAAAGGGGACTCTAACTCTCGTTATGGGCTGTACACATCGTCTGCATTTTAGTGGGCAGGCAGGCACTCTGAGAAGGCACATTAACATTATACAAACATTTCCACATGAATCCTTGCTCTCTGAGTCCACGTTACAGCGAGAAGCAGGTCAGTTGTTCTGTTCTGTGTTTGCTTCAGTTCAGTTTCTGGCTGAGAGCCGCTCACAGCTTGGACTCGCACCGAATGCCCCCGTTTCTTATCTTATTCCAATGTCATTTCAGCAAACAAGAGTCATGTTTCACCAATAAGGCACGGCGCTATCTATCCGACCCCAGCTCTGCCAGCCGGGGAAAAGTCCAGTGGACATGCGGGGGCTTCCAAACTGATCAAACTCCATCTCAAGAACCTTTACCCCTTTGTTTTCGCAGGGTTTCCTCTGCTCCAGAGACGTTTGTGGCGGTGTCAGAACATTTAGATCCACTCCGTTCCAGCCGACGTGCTTCAGGATGTAGTTCTTGCAGTCGTTATTGTCCCAGAAGGTCCGCTCCTGGGTTGTGAAGCAGATGCAGAACTCCACGCGGTTTTGCGGCGGGATTTGGGCGGGCAGATCCAGGACGAAGGCGAAGGTGTCGGAGTCGTGGCAGCTGTACACGTTGTTCATGAAGGAGCACTCGACGTCGGTGAAACTGACCCACGAGTCGTATGTTGCTCGAAGCTTCACCTTCTTCTCGAAGCCCATGTTTCGGACCTTTATGGTGCCGGTGAGCGAGCGTTCCTGCAGCGAACAGTTCTCCAAACACACAGAGTTGGCAATCAGCCGGTTCCTGAAGTCCAGGTAGTCGGCGGACGGTTGTTTAAAGTCCAGCACCAGGTTTTGCACCGAGTTAATCTTTAGGTCCATGGTTGCCGCTTCCAAGTCGAACATGTCGAACTGGAGCTCCTCTGCGATGCTTTTACTTCGTTTCTGGTACGGCTCGTCGTCGAACTTGGAGAAGACGTGGATGGCTGTGAGAGACATTCCTTTAGTGTCGGCGAACACCACCTTCTTCTTCTTGCAGGCGTTGTCGTTTCCGCTCCATCCCATGCAGTTTACGTCGTCCATGGCCCTCTGCTGGCTGCTGAGGCAGGGACGAAGAGGTTTGAAAAGCTGCTGATTGTTGGACGACTGCTTCACCCGGTTCTTGGTCCTCTGAAGGTCCTCGTAGGAGCTGAGGAAACCCCGGAGAGGAGGCGGAGAGTGGCTCATGTAGAATCTCATTGGCATCACAGGACCAGGCATCGCTGACGGACTGAAGGACCGGAGCACACTGAGGGAGGAGGCGTGTCGGGAGAGGAAATGGCAGAAGGAGGCTGTGACGTAGAGATGCAAGATGACGAGAGCATGCAGAGTAGAGAGAGGATGAAGAGCGATGTTCTGAAGACAGTACAGAGAGAGATGAGAGAGAGCCTGTGAGCGATGCGATGAGGAGAGAAGAGATGACGATGAAGAGAGAGAGATGAGAGAGAGAGGTAGAGAGAGAGACCGGAGAGAGAGAGAGAGAGGAGATGAGAGATGCGAGTTCTGTTTTTTGAGCAGAGAGCAGAATTTTTTTTTTTTTTTTTTTTTGAGATGAGCCGAGGCAGAGAGGCAGAGAGAGCAGGCAGAGAGTCAGAACAATGGCTTTCACTTTAAGCACTTCAAAATGTCTGCTCTGATTTTTAAACTAAAACACCATACTTTGGTACTTTCTGCACAGTGACAAGATCTACAAAAGTAAACACTCTTGCCTTTTCTAGAGTTGCGAAGAAGTACTCAGATTCATTGAATTAAGTAAAAGTAGAAGTAATTAGATCTTGTACTTGAGTCAAAGTATAAGTACTTAAAACTTGTACTTGAGTTAAAGTAGAAGTACTCGGATCTTGTACTTGAGTAAAAGTGGAAGTACTCAGATCTTGTAATTCAGTAAAAGTAGAAGTACTCAGATCTTGTAATTCAGTAAAAGTAGAAGTACTCAGATCTTGTAATTCAGTAAAAGTAGAAGTACTCAGATCTTGTAATTCAGTAAAAGTAGAACCAGAATGTGGGGATACTGAGTTACAAGTAAAAGTCCCGCATTCAAAATGTTACTTAAGTGAAAAGTAAGAAAGTATAAGCATATAAAAATACTTTAAGTTACACAAGTAAAAGTAACTAGTAACTAAACATTTAAAATAAATGTAGTGGAGTAAAAAGTACAATAGGCCTATGTGCTTACAGATGAGTGGATTAAAAGCATAAATTAGCATACTGTGAGAATACTGAAGTAAAGTAGAAGTTCCTCAAAAAGTACAGAACTCCTCAGAGTACATGTACTTAGTTATATTATATCACAGATCATGGCTTTTAAATTAAATTAAACTGTGCTTTCAATCGTCTGCGAAGTAAAAGTACTTCATGTTAAATCAGCAACACATGTCACAAATCAAACTGCTTCTGGTCCTTACCTTGCAGCACTCATGGAAGAAATAAAGTTAGCGGTTCCAGTAAAAGTCTTCTTGATTCTAACAGAGCATACCACCGCCTCCTCTCTCTTCCTGCCTGCCTGCCTTTGTGCTGGGGTTGCTCAGCACTCGGGGATTTCTACTGCCTCACAGAGGACATTTGCATATGCAATCATCTGGTCTCTTAAACAGCCAATGAGAAGTGGGTGGAGTTCACCAGCAGCCAATCAGCAGGAGCTTTGTTTGGCTGCCGGCCAGCTGGTAGGGGTGTGTCGCCGCATGGCCTCATTGAATGCTGAATCCTGCTGTTTCTCAGCTGTTTTCTGAGGGCCATGATGGACCCCTGCTGGTGGGGGGGGGGGGGATTCCCACAGGAAGTCACTGTGTCGCACTTTGGAGAGAGTCAAAATGTGATTCATTATGTGACATATTTTTTATATATTTGTATATATCTGAGACCTATAATATATGCCTACAAATAGTATAATAGGAGAGATTTAAATAATTTGAGTTCTGCTAATATAATATAATATCCACTTTAAAATACAATACACTAGTTAGCCAAATACTCATTGTCCTAAGTGTTTTATTTTATTTATTTTTTAGCTTTTATGGCTTTTTGTATAGTTACATTTGGTGTAAATACTTGTCTTTAGCATCCTTTTTTAATGCTAAATTGTTTCTTAAAAATTCTTGTTTTCTATTATCCTTATATAATTTATTTTTGTTTCTACTTTGCAACTTTCAACTCTCAAAATTGCATTCCAAGATAATATAGATATATATATATACATCTATTTCGGTAAATATTCTTTGTTATTTAATTGTTCATTGTAGCGGCAAAAACATTAGGAAGTAAGACAGAAAATTCACTCAAAATGTAAAATGCTATGGGTTCTGCTTATATAATGGCATTTTTTAGATGTAAGCTTTGAAAGGGAGTCTTGAAATTGCATTCCAAGAGAATATACAGTAGATCGAGGCAGTTTACTGAACATTAGGGTGTAAAACTGCTGTTGGGGCAATGATCCAAGTTCTAGGCAAGATATCCTTTAAAGAGCAATGGTTTCCCTTTTACTGCCCTGCTGCCTTATAGCTGGTAACACAAACATGTACACTCTCTAGTGCACCAATCCCAGTAGTCACAATGGATACCTTGTCTTTTACCTGCAAACCAAATCTACCTACAGTTACAAATACATGACCTGAACCCGAACCTTGTTGTTCTTCACCACAGATCTTTTTTAACCACTTCATTATGACACCCGATGCTTTGTCTTTTTAATCCCATCCTGCTTAGGTGCTGTTTACACGAGACTTTAATAATTAGATTAAAACACATGTATATCCTGAAGGTGTAAAGTCCAACATATGACCAAAGGTTGAAATGTTCTTGGCGTTTTTGGTGTCCTCTTGGTCAAAGTGGTTTTGTCCTGCGTACATGTTGACAGGCAGGCTATTTATATAAACCTCATTGATTTTCTTTTAAGCGGTGGGTTAAACATTATCCTGGAAGAGTCAGAAACTTTATTTGGAGGCCGAGCAGGAAAGTGTTTTAAACAACCGACAGAAATGAGTGAATCAAATGGTCTATAAAACAGTCTCTGTCTGATGTGAGAAGCTTTGATTGATCTGTGAGAAAGCTGTTTGCCATCAGGTCAAAGTGTTAAATGCAAAATGACGACCCCTCCCACCTTGAGGTTAAATCAAAGAACTGTGCCAAGTGGAAAAAATCGTTTTATCACAAACCCTAAAAGCTGCTGTGTCGTTTATTGCACGTCAAACCAAAAAATATTCCAAAATTAGGATTATTTTAGTAAAAGATAAGATCTGTGTCTTCAGGATGGAGATGGTAATGGCTGGGAGCTGCTCAGTCAAAACGTTTGAGAGAAACCCTTCATCAGATACAGTGTGATGCTAATGAGGCTAACGACAGTCGTCCAATCAAAACAAAGTTTATTTGTATCACAAAACACCTCTGTCTCAGTGGGATTTACAGATCAACAAACAGCCCACAGTGTTGAGAGATAAATAAAACTACAAGAAAATAACAAAAAACAAGATTGAATGTAGATTGCAACAAAAGACAATAAAAACAATAAATAAAATACCATAAAATGTAGGACTCAGGAGGACAAACATAGGGTAAACTTAAACCATCTTTGACTATAGGCTTTATTAAAAAGGAAAGTCTTCAACAAGCTCTTAAAGGTTTAGACACTGTCTGCCTCCGTGATGAAAACAGGAAGTAGTATCCAGAGAAAAGGAGATCAGAGGCCTGTACTACGAAGCTGGTTCAACCTAACCTGGATATGTTTGAGTTAGCCGGTTGGCCCAATCCAAAACATACGCGCTCTCGCTAAGCTGTACTACGACGCTGGTTATCAAGTGGATCGCTCAAGCCGCCGTGTGCTATCTAGTTAGGTGCGCGTTCACATGAAAGGGGTGGTATTTGGAGCATTCGACCAATCTCAAACACGGACAAGCGTACTGACAGCGCAGCGTCATACTTCCTGAATGAAAAGTGAACTCTAATATTAGTCAAATATGAAGAAGTTAAACTTTAAACATCCATGACTTAAACACTTTATCCAGGATCAAAGCCACATAGCTGCACCTGCAAGGTGAATACAGCTGGTAACAGAAAAAGTGTTTGAATGCGTACATTAACAGGTTTATGATATCACTACCCCGTCCAAGACACGATCTGACTTTAATTACATTTGACTCGAGTGTTTCGTCAACTGAATGTGTTGCTTAAAATAATACTTCTGCATACAGTATGTGACACTGTGAGTGTTGCACGGCCAGATACGGCTCAGCTGACTCAGATAAGGAAATATATGATACATTATGATGTGATATGATATGAATGATAAGGGAACACATCTACGTCTGCACTCACAGTGCCGCGGACTGTACTTAATGTTACTCTGATCCGGTTACTTATGTTGTGGCAGATATTTAAGTAAGCTTTCTTAACGCTAATATTATAATAGTCAGATTGCTCTGAAGATGGGAGGGGATATTCTATTAATGTTCACGTTCACACAGTCAGGTGATTTTTGCCGGCCGTCTTTCCTGCAACGGCAGTTTTTCTGTATTTCCTCTATCCTGTAATATGACTTGATCGCTTTAAACTCCGCACACTGAGCTCTGATTGGTCAGCAGGCGGTGCTTTCACTGAGTTGATCTCTTAGCCTGCAACCTAACCTCCTCCCGAGGAGGTTAGCCGCTCAGCATAAGTTACCATGGAGATCTAGCCCGCTAAAAAGAGCACCAGCGTCGTAGGACCGGAAAGCCCGAGTTTTCCCTGAAGTCAGCCGCTAAGAGAAAATCCAGCTTCGTAGTGCAGGCCTCTGGTAGGATGGCGCCTGACCGTTTACACCTGTCAAAGTAAACAGATGTAATGTTAAAGTCCAAGTAGTGATTGTAGTCGCTGTAGAAATAATGATGCAAGTCAAATGCAGGAATCCACGATGATTAGGGCCACATGCGGAAAAAAATGGACCAAAAGTTAAAAGATATTCTAACTTTTGTGAGAAATTCTGTAGGAATGAGATACTTAAATACATAAAACATTGAATAACATACTTACAAATACAAACACCATGTCAATTGAAATACTGAATAATATGAATTTATACTGTAAAGCCTCAGTCTGTCTGTTTCAGGATTATCTTCATTTCTTTTAATCGTTTTCTAAGTTATTGCTTTCCGATTCTGTGCAGCCCTGCAGGTCAGAGGTCATCTCCGAAGGGTTTTCCCCTCTCATGCTCAGGCAGACTTTAGACCCCGAGTACGGAGCATGTCACTTTTACATGCTCATAAAGACAACAGACCATCATTTATCACCCCCAAAATCAATCTCAACAAATTCAACCTCAATGACAGATGGCGTAAAAGTCAACAAACATTTCCAAACACTGATAACAGGTTTCTAAGAAGTGGAAATAGGTAAATATTATGGTTTATAAAGAAAGTATATTATACAGTTCCCATTAGAGAGTTTACCTATTTCACCTCCAACTCTCACATGCGATCTCATTCTGTTTTTTTGACATATCTGCTGTTGATTTGGTGTTAAAGCTTTGCAATACTCAGTGTTTACTTTAACTATCATGCCGTGTGCAGGTGATCATTCAGGAGTCCGATTTCAAACAAAGGTTAAGCACACTGACGGCAAACTGATGCAACACACGAGCACATTGGTATAGATGATTATAGATACATGATTGAAGGAGGAAGATTACAACTACTGTGTGCAGATGTTACACCACAGCTGGTTGCATCTGGGCAGAAATAGTGTTTCTTATGACCAAGAGAAACTGTAAGGATTCATAAATAAGTTCATGCATGCCGTCTGTCCTTTAACTTCTGGCCTATCTGTGATTCTCCAGAACACACAGACCCTCAGTCTGCTCCTCAGAATCTGCTTTTTTTAGAAACTCAGTGTTCATTAAAGAGAAATTAGTCCACCACTAAACCTATTTATTTTAGCAGGGGTGAGAGGGGTTCATGTCCCAGCGTGCCCCGGGGCCAAAGGCAGGTAAACAGTCAATACGGACCACCATGTCACCACAGATATGATTACACTGATACCAAATCTAACATTAACAATGGATATGAACAAAAGCCAGAAAGCACACGATTAACATGGACATGTTCAGACTTTGCATCGCCCTCTTCCAGCTGAATTTCACCGACCGTTATCAGCTCATATGTTTGCTTGAGTAAATATTGCTAAATCCGAAACCGATAAAGGGACGATAAACTGGAAAGAAAAGCAGAATTTAGCAATAAGATCAACTGTTGAGTAATTATTTACAAGGTTACATCATTGCGGCCTTTATTAAAACAAGCAAAAACTATTTTTGATCTTGAAAAATAACTAAATCTACTCAATTTCTGTGTTTGCTTTAATGGTTTTTATTATATATCCTCATTGATTTGTAATTACTTGACTCATGCAGTTTAGATTAGATTAGATTCAACTTTATTGTCATTGTGCAAAGTACAGGTACAAGCCAATGAAATGCAAGATGTGCTATATATAAATGAAAGCAAGGTGCATATTATAAATACTGACAATACAGGGAGCATTGAATGAGGATAACATCTAGAATATACAGATGTAAGTATTGACA